ATAACCAAAATCCGAAACAAAACGCAGCTGATGAACTCACTTGTTGTAAAGTACTATGTCAGGCCGCCATATGTGATCGGACGGCACGTGCAACATGTGAACTCCACCGTACTCCTTCGGCTCCCATCGCAGTTTGTAGTCGTACCATGACTTGAAACAGTCAATACAAGAAATATAAACATATTATTGATACGCTCTACGTAAAATCTATAACATGATTAATAATGTATCATTGAATTGTAAATAAATGGAATATCAAATCCATTCACAATTACATAAATACAATTTTTAATGATAGCGATTAATAATAGCAATTTTCCATTGTTATTAACAATAATATTTCATAATCGAATCTTTGTTTAATACTCCGGTATCAATAATTCATAAATAAAAAGTAATAAATCTTTCGCAAATAAAGCTTCATGGATAATTTTTATTGGAAATTAAATTTTGTAAAATTGAAAATTAAATTTTGTAATTAATAAACACGTACTCAAATAACATATTATTTTTACATAATTTTAACGTGAAACTTAATTCCAGAGATATGCAACTCTGAAAATTGGAAAATCATAATAAATAATATTGAAATTCATGGAAAAATTCAGTATCAAAACATTTGATATTAGTGCGATAAATATAAATTATCGTTTATATGTAGACGGATATTTATGCAATTTTATATTTTTTTAGAAAGCATATTAGAAAGTAGCATCAAAATAGAAATTTGTCTTATTAAAAAAGCATTCTAAAAATACATATTTATTTGTGCATATTGTACAAATTTGCATATTTTATGTATGTCTGCAAAAAAATATCCGCAAATCTGATCGTCTATTTATCATCAATTAAAAGATTGCAACACTTTTTTTTCGATGGGTTCCGGAATGCAGTTTGTTCACCGATTAATTCTTATAGAATCTAACCATTTAGTCTCTACAAGTAAGACTGATGAGTTCCGAAACACATCAAAAAAATGTGTTGGAATCTTTTAGTTGATGAGTGTCATGTACGCACACGCACACGCACACGCCACGCACACGCACACGCACACACAATATATGTATGTGTGTGTATATATTATATAT